TCAGGTTTTCAGGGTCAGAACAGGCAGGCTGGCTCAGGCTTGCTAACCATAACAAGAGTCAAAGTCAACAATCCGGCTCAGAGTGGAGCTCTCCTCCAGCTTAAGTAGGGAGAGCTTAATGAGCAGATAGGGATCAGCTGTTTCAGATGAGCACAAGCTCGCAAGAGAGGATCCACAGCGCCCTCTGGTGGGCAAGCCTCTGAATCCCAACCGACAGCAGAAACCCACAGAAAGGGATCCACGTGGTCCTCTGGAGGGCAGACCTCTGGATCCCAACAATGTCATGAATTGAAAAAGCTGTCATCTAAATTCTTGGATGCATTTTCAAATATATATGTTTTTCTGTTTTAATCTAAAACTTAAAGTTCCTGTTCTGTAATGGAAGCAAAATTATTGCAGAGAAGTCAGCCTCTGGTGGCTGTGCTGATGCTTTTATGATTATTGTTAATCAAACTTTCGGCTTCTCTGCACTTTTCTCACAGCCCTTTCTTACTCTGTTTTCAATATTTCTGGACAAGTTAAACTCTAAAGAGAAGACAAAACTCAGCAAATACCTTATTATTAGTAGTCAATTTTAGAAAAATGTGTGTAAAGATTTATTTTTATTTTTTTCAGACAGAATCTTTAGTTTGTGTGTCACCTGGCTGGAACGTTTGCGTATCCCTGTGCCTCTTTGTCCAAGGTAGATGTAAACAGCTCCTGCATTATCCTGCTCCAGAGGGGCTCCCACTGCAACATCTCTGAGACCATCTCCATTCAGATCTGACAGACTGGATATGGTGGTGCCAAATCTGCCCATGGATGGTGCTCGCACTTGATGCTCCATTGTTAGTTCCATCTATAGGCATTAATGATAATATCAATTGAATAATAAACTACAATCATAATTACTATAATTAACTATAATAACAATGTCGCACCTCATCAGATAGAGAATAGATGTAGATTATTCCTTCTTTTCTCTCCTCTGAAAGATAAAACATTGGAGCTCCAACCAGCAGGAAGTCGGTGTTACCATCTGAGTCAATGTCTACAGAGCAAAGCTCTGCACCAAAATAGGAACCAATCTGCAATGTATGAATAAAGTGTTTCTTGAGCTTATCATCTCTAAGAAGCAGCCTGAAAATTGAATCAGTTTTTTTCTGGTTTCCTTTCTGCAACCCAACATGTCTTACTAATTTTCAAAGTAAAAGCATAAATTGAAATGCCATTGTGTATGTTGGCAAATAGAAACTTAATTGTTAATTGTTCACTCTTCCTGAAACTCCCAGGCAAAATATTCTAGTTTAAATGGGAGCAGCATGGCGTCATTTAAATGATAGATGACCTGGTCCCCTGTTATTCTTTGTGTTGTGTTCCACTTGTCATCATCAGGTTGGAAAACTATGACCTGCCCCACATGGTCGAAACGTGGTGCTCCAGTGAAATATAGAGGACTGCCATTCCTCTCTCCAACAGAAAGAGAGTATCCTAAAAGTGTGAGTAGAAACAAAAGTTCATATATGCTTTTTTTTGCATTGCAGATTATTTGACACCAAAAGAAGTAAAAAAAAACAACAACTGTATCTTTGAACAAAATCAAGGTTGTTAATTGATAGCTGTAATAAAAGAAATAATTTGAGTGAATTATTAAACATTGTTATACCCATGTAGGAGGCTTCTTGCATTTCAGGGTCTAAAATCAGTTTATCTTGCTTTTGAGGCTCACTGAGAGCCCCACGCCAGGTGTTTGATCCCACAGAGCCCAGAATTAAGGTGTCCTGTCAACACAGATATTAATCGGGATTTAATATTTTTTTTGACACACATTGAAATCTTTTTTATGTTTACTTTGGTTGTCTCCTTTGTGCTTTTATTCTCTGTGGTGGGGAAAATTATATCCCCTATTAATTCCTTTTTACATATATTGGAATAGGAGTGTCGAGTTTCACTTATTCAGGCCTCGGTGCTGAGGAGAGTCGTTAGGGACAAGAAATACTATTCCAATAAAAAGCCTGGTTCTTTTTCATTGTTTATTCATAATATTTTACTGTTTAACCAAATTGTCTGTGATTAGTTTTGACTCTGACAAATATCGCAGCTTCTCCACTATTGTGATTAGATGGGACAGACACTGTCTAGAGCAGAACAGGACATCATACTGTGAGGGATGTTATGATTGTCTTGTTATCTTATTACTTTGCAAAGTAAAATAAAGCTTGAACTGAGTGAAATCCATCGATCTGCGTTTATTTAACTGCAGTGAATTGTTGAATACTTTTTTCATGCAACAGCTCTCTGTTTTGCGTCCCTGTCATCTTATACTGGTATGGAAGCAGACATCTAGAAGTTGCTGTATATCTTCTGTATTGTCTTTTTTTGCTGTTTTGTCCTATATCTGGTACATCTATTCCCAGAGCCATATTGAGAAAACAGGACACAAAAAAGAAAAAAAAGGGAGAAGAATGTTTTTTTTTCAGAAATTCACTATTCAGTATTACAACGTGTTCCATTCGTCATCAGAAAGGGACATTTTCAACTTCCACATTGGATTTTAACCGGAAAGCTCCTGAAAGTCAAAATAACAAGTCAGAAATTTGGTGCAACTGGACGGTATCTGACTTTTGCATTCAAGATAGATGCTACTCATATCTGTAACAGTGGTTACACTCCCCTCCTTTGACTTTTAATTCTTTGTTATGTATGCAGCATTAAGTCATTCATTCAGGGGCTACTTTTAAGTGTGTAGAGTACAATATATTTCAATACATTTTATATGTGCAGAATACTGTGTAGAATGGTGTTTTTAAATTATTATTGCTTTAGCAGTGCCTATAGGGAGTTTGAGGCTACAAGCTAAACACTAAGACACATTTATATTACAGCTTACATTACCCCAACTTATTAAATTTGAATTCCTAATTATCAGGAGTTCATATGGAGTTATTTTGTCAAGGAATCATCAGTACTCATCATATTTCAGTAATAAACAAGGCAGCCAAAGGTTTGACAAAACCTAANTTGATTTTATGGAATTCAGACTCCTATTGTTTTCTTTTTCAGATAGAATCTTTAGTTTGTGTGTCACCTGGCTGAAACGTTTGCGTATCCCTTTGCCTCTTTGTCCAAGGTAGATGTAAACAGCTCCTGCATTATCCTGCTCCAGAGGGGCTCCCACTGCAACATCTGTGAGACCATCTCCATTCAGATCTGACAGACTGGATATGGTGGTGCCAAATCTGCCCATGGATGGTGCTCGCACTTCATGCTCCCTTTTTAACTCCATCTAGAAGCAATAACAATAATAGTTTCTGAATAATAAACTAATACAAAAACAAAACTTGATCCAAGCCTTTATAATGAAGCACCTCATCAGATAGAGAGTAGATGTAGATCATTCCTTCTTTTCTCTCCTCTGACAGATAAAACATTGGAGCTCCAACCAGCAGGAAGTCGGTGTTACCATCTGAGTCGATGTCTACAGAGCAAAGCTCTGCACCAAAATAGGAACCAATCTGTAATTAGTGGATAAAGATTTTCCTGAGCTCAGTATCTCTAGGAAATAGCCTGCAAATTCAGTCAGATTTTCTGGTTTCATTTCCTATTGATATCATGAGCTTGCATACAACATGTTATAGTTTAATTTTGACAGTGAAATGATAAATTGAAATGCCATTTGTGTATGCTGGCAAATAGTAACTTCATTGTAAATTATTCACTCTTCCTCAAAATCCCAAGCAAAATATTCTCAGAGACTAGTTTAAATGGGAGCAGCATGGCGTCATTTAAATGATAGATGACCTGGTCCCCTGTTATTCTTTGTGTTGTGTTCCACTTGTCGTCATCAGGTTGGAAAACTATGACCTGCCCCACATGGTCGAAACGCGGTGCTCCAGTGAAATATAGAGGACTGCCATTCCTCTCTCCAACAGAAAGAGAGTATC